GAGGAAGAGTATACTGGCAGTTGGAAGTCAAGGGATCCCACAGTCACATCACACAACAAACCTCACACAAGAGATTTATTGGGAGGGGGAAAACCCATGGGGGTAGCTGCCTCTGCTTGGTAGAGAAGAAGCAAAGAACTGAGCAGAAGACAGGGTTTATATAGGATTTCTTGGGGTGAGTGTGTGTGTGCGTTTGTAGTTTTCCAGGGTAGATATTTCCACAGTGGAGACTGAAGTCCTGAGCTTGGGCTTTTTACTCTGTAGGGTGGGAGTTGGGTCTGGATGTTAGGGCAGGTAAGAGTGTTCTGTGGGTGGAACCTGGGGGTTGAAGTTCCTTAGGGGAATGATCTGGTCACTTCATGTCTCAAGAGGCTTACAGATGGGGAGGACAGAGGAAGACAAGAAAGGGAATATAGCTAAAATTAAGGGCCATTTGAGAGGTAGTATGGAAACCCAATACAGTAGAAGCTTCCTAAAATATACACATATATAGTAATCCAGATGAAATTGCCAAGTAATGGGGAAGACAGAGCCCAACCATCCTACTCATCACCAAATGAAACTTCCAGTACTGAGATTTCCATCACATCTAATTGAGTTGTTGGCCAAAGGGGTCCCACAGGAACCCAGGCAGTTGCCAAGACTACACATTGCTCTCTAGAATTGATGTCAAGGTTCCTTTGTTGAAGACACAACCAACGCAACTCACTGGACATGGTGAAACCTTCACTTCTATGTGATAGTGTCTTCAGCACAGGAACGTACTCTGCACGCTACCAGATGAGATCCCTAACACCAACCTAGTCACCTAGTCACAAATCCTTTGATCTACAATGGTGTCCTGCCTGCAAGACAGGCTAGAGCCAAGGTAGCACAAAGCTTGCAGGAGTACCCAACAGACATCTGATTTGAGTTGAGGCCTGCTCTACAAGATGGAACCCATTCTGACACTAGTTGGGTAACCAAGAACCTGAGTCTAGATGGCCCAGGGACATAGGGTAAAACCAAATACTACTGTTCTAAAACAAAACAAACCCAAAAACCTAGCAATGAAATGACTCCTAATAACACTAGGCTATACTTAATTGATCAGTCCTTGTTCAGCAATCATTGGGAAGCTCCTCCTGCAGCAGATGGAAAGAAGTACAGAAACCCACAGCCAGACATTATTTAGAGAATGAGAGACTTTGGAACACTAAACCCTACAGAGGATGTCTCCATCAAATCCCTTCCCTCAGAGCTCAGGGAACCCAGCTGAAGAGGAGGAAGAGGAGTGTAAGAGCCAGAGGAGATGAAAGATACCAAGAAAATGAAGCTTTCTAAGTCAACATGATTACAGCTCATAAGAACTCAGAGACTGAGGTAACATACCCGAGGCCCTCTGTTGTGTGTATTATGGCTCCCAGTTTGGTGTGTTTATGGGGCTTGAGAGTGTGTCAATAAGTGGGTCTGATCTTGTGCCTTCTTTTGGGCCCTTTTCCTTCTTTAGTCTTGCCCACCTCTGATGTGATAGTTTTATTTTATTTCATATTTTTTGTTATATTTTATTATACCTTATGGCTTTTATCAGTTTACCTGACTTGTGATCACTACCTTTACATAAATGTTTAGAAAGAATGTCAAATGGAACCCTTTAATTTACATTTTCTTTAACTGCTAAATTTCTAGAGCTCTTTATAGATAGCTTATAATCCCTTTTCATATTATGATTAACAAATATTCTATTTTGCGGCTGTGTTGTCACTTGATGGTATTCACAAAAACACATTTTAATTTTGTTTATTTATTTATTTTGGTTTTTCAAGACAAGGTTCCTCGGTGTAGCTTTGGAGACTGCCCTGAAACTCATTCTGTAGACCAGGCTAGCCTCAAACTCACAGAGATCTGCCTGCCTCTCCTCCTGAGTGTTGGAATTAAAGGTGTGTGCCACTACAGCCCTGTGTACATTTTTAATTTTTATAAACTATTTATCCCTTTCTTGTATTATATCTAAAATTTTATTTACTATTTCTAAGTCACTTAAAAACTACACTAAGGGGGACTGGAATGATAGGCCAGCAGTTAAGAACACTGGCTGTTCTTCCAGAGGACCCAGGTCTCATTCCTAACATCCACATGGCAGCTCATAACTGTAATTCTAGCTCTGGGGAAATGACACCCTCTTCTGGCTTTCGAGGGTCAGATTTTAAATGAGGCCATCAAGTTGTTAAAAGCATTATTTGTTGAAAGCATTTACCCCCATTCACATTTCACAACCATATTTTTTGAAAAATCACTAAACTTTAAACACGACAGCTATTTTTGGAGATTCAATTCTATACCATCAGTCTGTATTTTTATCTCTATGTCAGTACTCCTTAAAAAACTATAATTTTGTAGTATACCATTTTTATTGTAGTAACTACATGTTACAAGAAATTTATCCTTTTTATCACATGTAAGTGTAGAAATCAGGGGCATAAGTATTCAGATTGGTATAATCATTACCATTACTATCTCTATTACTAGTCATTCTCAATGTAGCAAATTTTCAAAGGGAAAAGAATGAGTAAGAGGAACTTTGGTCTTCTGTCCAAGACTGTTTTGGTTATTCCTGGTCTCTTATATTTAGATATTAGCTTTAGCATTAATTTTTCAGTTTCTGCAATAGAGGTCATTGAGGTTTGCAGTTCCTAAATTTGGGGAAAACCACTCTCCTATAAAGATGACATTTCTTCTCATTCATTTTGGTCTTAATATCCTTCGCAAAACGGATTTCTTTGTCAACTTATTTCTATTTTATTCCTTTGGTATGATTGTAAATAGTTGCTTTCTTAATTTCACTTTTATATTGCTTTTTGTTACTGTATAGTGTGTGTGTGTGTGTGTGTGTGTGTGTGCGCATGTGTATGTACATGTGTGTGTGCGTGAATTCCTTAGGGTTAATTTGTAAGGGTACATCATTTGCCAACAGATATTTTTACTTTTCCCCTAATAATTTTTTCATTTTCTGCCTGATTACCTGGTCAGAATCTCTAGCACACCGCTGAGTAGGAATGCTAAGATTGACAAGATCAACCTTAGTACCCCTGAGACTGCAATCCTTTACAAGGTCTACTTGTAAGGCTGGCTCCCGGACGGCATCTGAGGAGCTGTATTTCAGTGAGGCTTCCATTGCTGTTAGATGAACACAGCTCACTACGTCCAAATCACTAATGCAAACACGTGTATTGAATATATGCATTTCTTTTGGGAGACTGGAATCAGTACATGCTGGATAAAGGATGTCTACATGAATAATTGCCAATAAAGTTGGGACTCCTCTGTTTTTAAGAGAGATTTCCAGATCCACATTTCAGACGCATTGTTACAAACATGTAGCTAGGGAAATTAAATATGCCTTGTGAGAACTCTCGAAAACTTCCCCAAAGTTTCCTTAGCTTCCATAACTGCAGTTTTCCCTTTGTTGATTTGCTTTATGTCTTTCTGCTGAAACAAACTGAGTCTAGTGAATTGGCAAACCTGGTCCGACTTTGCTGTTACAGCTATTCTTCATCTCAGGAGTAAAGCAAGGCAGCCTGTCAACGTGATGCTAGCTATGGGATTCTTTTCACAGATGCATTTTATCATGATGGTAAGTTCTCTGTTGTTTCCTTTGTCTTTTTTCTTTTTTTGAGCCTGACTTTGTTATCACCATTTAGTCCTTTCCCAGTGATGAGATTACAGACATGTGTCGACAATACTACTGGTATATTCTATTTATTAAAATAAAGGCTTTTTCCCCCCAAAGAGTGCTGGATTTCGTCAAGTAGTTTTTTGGCAATGATGATGTAGGCATTGTTCTTTATTATACTAACATTACATTAGTTTTTACCTATTAAACAAATCACAAATCCCTAGGATAAATCAGGCCAAGCCTCAGATTTCTAGTATAGGAAATGGCCAAATAAACATACAGTACTTGAACATAGTGCTAATAGCTGTTGCTAAAATAAAAGGGGGCGGGGGAGTAAGAGAGCAAGCTGGAAGGGTGTAATCAGAACCATTATCTGCGTAAAATTTATCAGAGCCAATACTAAGTTGATCAGAAATCCGCATGGTGAAAGGGAGACAGGCCCAGGAGGAAGATGGCCAGGCAAACTGAAAACAGCAGCAAGTAGGAACAAGCTTAGTGTCTTTAAAGTCACAGCCTCAGGAGCAAGCCGTCTGCAATGGCCGAAACAGTGAAGAAGATGAGACCAGATCGCACTGGGAACGTGTGGGCCACCAGAGACACATTTCAATCCCTTTCCAGTTGTGAGAGGAAAGCAAGAGTTCGCAGCACACTTTCTCAACCTGCCTAGGCAGCTTTACCCTGATCCCTCCTCCCTTTACCTTAGAAAATCCACAACAACAATCTCGGGGGCGGGATTCTTCTCACCTTTCTCAGAAAGGCCACACACCCCTCTGCTGCCTCTGGTTAGGGAAATGCTAACAGGCTTGCTCTGGGCGGTTAAGTGTGCGTGTTTTGTGTCACCCACCCTGAGTCTTAGGGCAGCCCCAGCGCTTAACTTTGGGGGCGGTGAGTTAACTGACGTCCAAAGACAAGAACAACTCCCCACTGCCTGGGCGCTGGGGGCTCCTTTGCACAGCTCGGGGCTGCGTGCACTGCAGCGCTCGGCGGTGGCTGCCTAGGGACGACACTGGCCGCGTCCTTACCCTGGGATCCCTGTGCGATCACCGGCGGGGCTTGCATTTCAGGGACACAAAGTGGGCTGGGGGAGCCTCCTGGGAGACCCGGCCCCCGGGCTGCCTCTGTGTCCCTCCGTGCAGACGGGAGGCGACCGTCCCGAACTCTCAGCGCGCAAACACACGCGCACGCACGCACACACACACACACACACTTCCCGGCGTGGTCAGACACCCCCCCTTTTTCTCTTCCCCCGTCCTCACCCGCGAATACGCGACACCGATGCAGCTCCGTGCAGTGCACCCCAGCCCTCCGCCCCCGCCCTTTCCAGCCGCCGTCCTTCCCTACTCACCCAGGATGCGGGAGACGCCCAGGGTCAGCTTCTCCAGGTGCGGCTTGCTGCCGGTTTGCAGCGGGGGCGGCGTCTCCTCCATGGCACGCGTCCCCACCCCGCGCGCGGCGGAGGCGGAGGCGGCGGCGGTGGCGGTGGCGGCGGCGGCGGCGGCGGCGGCGCCCGCAGGGACCGGGGCCGCCGCGCAGAGCCGGCCCGCCGGCTGACGTGCCCGACCCCGCCTCAGCTCTGCGGCCGTCGGGCTCAGGGCATGCCGGGAGTTGTAGTTTTCGCTGCCTGAGGCCTCGGCCGGGAGAGGATGGGCGGCCCTCGCGGCTCTGGCAGCGACAGTTCCGCCGGGCACTCGTTCCCGCGACCCTGGCCCGGGCCTCGGCTCACATCGCCGCGACCCCGCCTCGCCTCGGCCGCCGGGAGCCTCTCCCCTCGCCAGGGCCGGAGGCGCAAGCGGGGGCGGGCCTCTGCGCCGAGCGGCCAATGGGGACGGAGCCTGGCGGCCGGGGCGTGGCGGCCCCGGCGCGACGCCTCGAGTGGCGGTTGTTTCAAGATGGCGGGCGCGGCCGGCCCCTCCCTGCCGGGCTCCGCGTTCTGGAGCCGCGACTGTATCCTTTGCCCCGCTGCTAGGGGGCGCCGCGCCCTCCCGGGTGGCGAGGGTGGGGGCGCGAGGCTCTCGGTGGGCCCGAGAACGGCGGCGCGGAGTCCCACGTCGAGCTTGGTGGCCCCCGCGCCTGGCGACGAGTTGTCGCTAGGTGGGAATTCTGGCGCTGGAGGAAACCCATCCTCCTTGACTGTGGGTTCTGTAACAACAACAACAACAAACCCCAACGACAACAATAGCCTTTCGTGGGGACGACTCGGGCGGGCTCCTGTGCCAGCCCTTGCCTGGGAGCCCTGGCTGCCGGGGTGCCGAGTGGGTGGCGGGCGTGGGGGGACACACCCCGCTAGCTGGGCTGGCAGTCTTCGCTCGCTCTCCATTTAGAATTACCCCGAGTGTGCGCCTCCAGGAGCCAAGCAGGCGACTCTATTTGCCCCTTGGACTTCTGGGACCCTCTGAAGACGCCGTGTTTTCTAGTGCGGGTCTTCGGGAGCGGCGTAGGTGTCCCCGGGGCAGGTTCTGCTGGTTGGTGCCGGTTAGGGAATGCGATCGGAAGTGCCTGGGAGCGCCGCTGACTTCAGGACTGTGAGAGTCAGCCTCGCTGGGAATGCAAGTTTGGGGATTGTTTTTCGTCGTCAGGAAGCCTGGAGCTTCCCAGGCGCGCAGTAGTTAGACTCCCAGGTCCCATAACTGATGAGATTTCACAGCGGTTCATTTCTAGGATCTGGTTAGCTCTTGCATCCTAAGCTTTCACCTTGGTTATGTGCTTCCGCGCTCGAGGGGCATTGCTGGAGAGGAAATGTAATCTGTGCTCCCCAGTGCCTGAAAACAGGCCAGCTGGCTTGCTGGATGTGGTGACGACATTGTTTTAGACATTACTGTTACCTTTGGTAGGATCATTCTGGACGTCCAATTCTACTTAGCTCGCAGTGAAACTTGGAAAATTGCATTACCGGTTTCCTTTATTGAGTTACTTAGGTTAGAGTTCCGTGTGTGCCGACGGGAATACTTTTGCATTCTGTGCTGCCGTGTGTTTAGTGTTGTGCCCTTCTAAACAGAATTACTGCTTGTCTCTGATAGGTTGTCGAGAAGCAAATGAAATTACCTCATGTACTGTAGAAGAAAGCAGACCAGTGCAGTCTCAAAGCAAATTGTTTTCTTCCCTTTACTTATTAGAGTTGAAAAGCAAATACGCGCATCAGAACCACTCTGCCGAATTAGGAAGTCAGGAAATTGGGGTCCGTCTTTTCCTTAGGAAACAGTTACTTGCTTCCAACAGCTAATGGTATTTTTCTGATCCACAATAAAGCAGATGACAGTCTGTTTCCCTGGGACTGAATAAAGTAACAGTGCGTGCTCCAAGCCTGCGCTTTTGTTCTTAGCAGCCTTGTCCCATACACATTAACACTCAAATTTGTTATGGAAGAAATAATATATTCCCTATCTTTCACATTTTCTCGTACGCTGGATAGTTAATGTAAAATATTCAGACGTACCCACTAATGATGAGAAATTGGAATTGTATGGGGGAAAATGTGACGGTAATTAGGTTCTATAGAAATTCAGATATAAGAAAGAATTGCAAAGTTACTGGCATTCCTCAACCTACTCCATCTAATGACCAGTTAACACTGAGCCCCTGATATTTTCATTCTAAATCTCCATGGGGCATACAGCTGTGTTAGATGTACATTGATTGTTGCTATTTGCTGAAAAATATGATAGTTATGAACCATTTGGCCTTTGGATCGAGATTTCTTTCTGTCTCATTGATGATTATTTGCCAGACCACTCCAGAGTAAAATTTCCACTAGGAAAAAAACAAATAGTGCGTGCCTAGGATCTTCTATTCTTTGCACATTCGTGAATAAAAGATTTTCAGTGCTTCACTTAAATGATTAAATAAATGTGACTGAGAGATTTCTCAATCCTAGAAGTTTTCATCATGAGAGAGCAGATAATCAGTGATTGATAACATCACCTCTAAAGAAAGTTATTTGTATCTATGGCATATTATGGCCCAGCAATGCTATTTGACACAAGGTATTGGCATCTAATGTATGAATAATGAGGATGCCACATTGCATTTTATGGGTTAAATCTTCTGGAAAAACAATCTGTTGTTTGTGAAGTTCTTACTAATCTATGTAGTTCATTGTAGTATAAGAAAGTGGATACTCTTTCTACAGTATTAAAAGTTGATTGCTAGTATGCACTTGCTGGATTAACAGAACTAATAACAATATTAACAAATATGAACTACAAGGGAGTGGCCCAAAACATTGTAATAATTATCATTTCTGCCATTGAGTTTTCAAATGAAAATAGATTGAGACTTTACATAGATGTAGGATTAGTTTACCTCAAAACCTCTGTGGTAAATAACAATTATATATACCTGTGTTACGGGCACATGATTCACTGTTCAAAGGGGTAGAGAACAGTAAGCAACCTTCCTTCACATCTGGCTTCCTTTATACCACTTCTCCCTGGCTTCCAATTACTGTCTTCTAGAGAGATAGACAGATTGCTGTTGTCATTGAAAATATTCTCTAATTTGCAGTAATCCTTGTTGAAGTACTTCTAACAAGAGATAGAAATAAGGTGGCATATAGGTCCAATACATTTGGTATACTTTTTGATCTTTCTGAAAAGTACAGCTTTGCCGTGATACTTTGTTTATGATTTAACAAATAAAGCTTGCCTGAAGATCATAGTGCAAAGTTAGCCACACTAGTTAGCCATGAGGGCTGGGCAGTGGTGGAGCACACCTTTAACCCCAGCAGCCACACTAGTTAGCCATAGAAACCAGGCAGGGGTGGCACGGGCCTTTAACCCCAGCACTGCTGTATGCAGCATGTTTTATACCCTTGTCTTGAATTGTTTTTCCTGTTTTTGTTTTTTTCAAGCGCGTTTCAAACATCACACCATATATTGAATGCCCACTGTGAATAAAAGCTCTGTGTTAGTCTTGGAGGATAGAAAGTAAAAGAATGTTCTGTGGCTCAGGAGACCGTACCATTTCATTTCCTAGAGCTATTTTGAAATTGATTATTGATGAATTCAGCATTAGATTCTTTGGAACAGAAATTCCAGCTCTCCAAAATAACCAAAACTCATCCACAGTGTTTAAAGAAATTGAAAACTTATGGGTGCTTATTGTCAGTCAACATCTTTTTGTCGGTATTTATTTCTTTCAGACAGGGTTTCATGTAGTGGAGACTGGCCTTGGTCTCTTAGTCTTCTGCTTTGTTCACCTAAGTACGGGGGTTATAGGTCTATACCACCACACCTAGCCTATCAACCCACATCTTAAAGTTGTGATAGATAGCACATGTCTATACCACCATACCTAGCCTATCAACCCACATCTTAAAGTTGTGATAGATAGCACATGTCTATACCACCACACCTAGCCTATCAACCCACATCTTAAAGTTGTGATAGATAGCACATGTCTATACCACCATACCTAGCCTATCAACCCACATCTTTAAGTTGTGATAGATAGCACATGTCTGTACCACCACACCTAGCCTATCAACCCACATCTTTAAGTTGTGATAGATAGCACATGTCTATACCACCATACCTAGCCTATCAACCCACATCTTTAAGTTGTGATAGATAGCACATGTCTGTACCACCACACCTAGCCTATCAACCCACATCTTTAAGTTGTGATAGATAGCACATGTCTATACCACCATACCTAGCCTATCAACCCACATCTTTAAGTTGTGATAGATAGCACATGTGTTGCAGAAGGCTGTGAGGAACCACCCAGTAGCGCAGGCGGTGGGTGCCGTCTAGATTTCCTACTTTTCTGAGATTTCCGCTTTCTGTTGCCGTGGATGACAGAATTTAGGACCTTGCTCATGCCAGGGAAGCCTTTTACAGCCCCAGTGCTTGCCCAGCTCACATCCCTTGGAGCCTGGGTCTTCACTCAGACTAGCCTTAAACTCATTCTGTACTCCAGGCAGGTCTTAGACTCCTCCCTTAGCCTCCATAGCAGCTGGAGAATATTGTTAGACAATTTGTATTAGTGTTCACTGGGAAAAGCCTGCATCACTAGTATTGATACTGAGCTAAGGTATTTATCTATTTACTTTATTACTAAGGTACAATTTCCTATGTATACACTGTATTCTGGTGCTTCTCCCATTTCCTTTGCACTTCTCCTGCCCAGCTCATCCTCAGTATAAACCGTTTCCTTGTTTAGTAGGTTGACTTCCTTTGGTAGTGCACAGAGCTTAATTGGGGCCCTCTGTGAACTAATCTCCATATTGACCTTGTTAGGTATATTATTGAGCCTGCTACCTCATTTTCCACACACCGTGGTGTCTTGAAATCTTTGAAAACATTTAATAAACTGAAAAACCTGGTATTTTTATATTATTTGGATTGAAAATTATATATGTGCTTCTTGCTTGGAATGTTACCAAATTGTAGATTTGTAGTTATATCTGGATTAGGAATCCTCTAGAAAAATAACTTTCTTGTGATGGTACTTTTTCTGTAGCAGATGTACACACACACACACACACACACACACACACATGCATACATAACTATATATGTATATGTGAGACTGAACTCTAAATATATACATTTATATACACTTGTGTATATGTACACATTTGCTATAAGAAAAGAAGTATTATAACAGCTTTATACACATATATACATACATGCATACATACATTCATTTGCTACAGAAAAAATATCTTTTCTGAATTTCTCCTTTCAAAATTCAAAATAATTCTTTTTTTGTCCTGAAAATTTCTTACATCTTCTATAATAGGGCTTCTTGGGACATTTCATGAATGTATTACAGAAGCTATAAATATTGCCTTTATGGCTGCATGACTGACTTGCCCTAAAACATTGTTTGATCTTCAAAGCTAATGCCTGTCTTGGAATTATTTATTCTTTCTACCTAAAATAACTTTCATCTTCTCCATGGCTCTTAACTCCTGTTTTTTTTTTTCTTTTTCTTTTTTTGTAAAAGGAAAGCAACATAATAGCAGAATGTGTATATCAGAAAAGTAATTTGGGAAGAAGTGTGAGGGAAAGATTTATGGACTACCATGGTTTCTATCATTTTCTCTAAACATAAGGTTGTAACGTGCATTCTTTCCCCGCATCAGTCTCAAATGAACACATAGGATACTATAGTAATTAGGAAGCTGTTGGTCATTTGCTATGTTTTCTTAATGGATAGCTCTGATTCAATTATTAACCCATAATTACTAATATATGTTTTTATAAATCTTGTCTTTCTGAGGATGCCATCCTCATGGGTTCTCTCCTTCCGGGATCACATGGTGACTCTCCACCCTTGAATACATTTCCCAGAATCCTCCTCAACTCCTAGTCCCACCTATCTCGCTTCCCTATTGGCCAACAGTGCTTTATCAACAAATCAGAAAAACATACACAGAAGGACTTCCCCCATCATCTCCTCTTTTCTGTCTAAATAAAAAGGTTTTAACTTTAACACAGTCAAATTATATAAAACAGAACATCCATGAAGAGCTATAGTTACAATATTTAGTTCATTTAGTAAGATTTAAAGAAAGGATTTTATCATGTGTCCTCTCTGTGTGGTAAAGTCTAATATGTAGCTTATTTTTTTATCAAAACTAAGAAAATCTATAATTATAACTATCTGTCTTCAGTTCCATCAAAGACCACAGAAGGATAATATATAAACTCTAGAATTGATAGAGACATCTTGCTATGTGGATAGTCACATGAAGTTCTTCTGTAACATTGGGCATCCATCTTCATTCCATTGGCCACAGTGTGCTGGCAGACTTATCAGCAAACCAGGAAATTTTAAACTGTCTGCCTGCATTGGTAGTTTCTCAGTCATTTTTCTGTGTCCTGCAGATCGTCTGGCAGACTCTTCCATGGAGCAGCAATCCTTTAGGACTCTCCCATCAAGTTTAGCAGTCACTTTTCTGTGGGTCCTGCATGTCCAGTCTATCAAACAGTAAAGGCAAAAGCAGTTTCTTGCCCAAATGGCTAATCTTGCCATGTTGAAAACAAACTCTACAATGAATTTCTTCGATGCCCATCTTCCTCTCAGATGTAATTAGTGTCCCAGGAGTAGTTGTGACTCACTGTCATTAAAAACCGTAGCCATTTAAATACCATATATATTGTGTAGGTCTTTGAAGGGTTTGGAGAATGTATATCCATCTCAAATATATTTCTGTATATCTAGAAAACCTAACTAACCTAACTGTAAGTTCTGAGTATTATAGGTGACTATATATAATCTGTATTTAATTATGTATTACATTTTAAAAGATCAGTGTAAACACAATACTTAAACAAGAGAGAAATATACATATCACAAAATCGACCTTAAATTTGTATCAATAAATGAAAATCCATACCAATGCAAAGTATTCATTTCTATATAATATTCCCTTTTTCCCTTTAGAAATTGATTGACTGTGATTATTACCATTTATAACCAATTCTGTATAAATGAAAACAAACATTTATAATCAATATTTGGGAATGTGGGCGTTGTTCTCTCCAAACTACTTCCTGCTGTTAGGGGGGTGCTGTCTTGGTGATCCTAAGAAGACCCAGAAATCCTGGCTGCAGTGGTCTGTAACTGCATAATCTTAGCTGTTTTGAGATGTTGGATCACCTGGGCCACTGCTTCAGGGGGTCTTATTTCATCAAACCATATAAGTCTGGAAGGAATCTACAGCTTTTCATTTTCTGTGAAAACACAAGCAAAAACTCTTTTCTCAAGTAACCTGTACTTATATTTAAATTTAGAAGTCAAAGCATTTTTACAATATTTAAGATGGATTAATTTAGCAGCATTGATAATCAAATATCTTTTAGCAGTTGTTGCTCCTTCCCCAGCAATTAAACAATTCAAAGACAACACAATAGCATACAATATTCAGACTCTCTGTTGTATTTTACATCTTTACATGGCTTTTTTATTACTCCATTTCTTTTATTTTTTCCTTTTATGAGACAGAGTTTCTCTGTTTGACTTTGGTTCCCCTGGAATTCACTCTGTACATCAGGCTGGCCTGGAAATCACAGAGATCTGTTTGCCTCTGCCTCCCGAGTGCTGGGATTAAAGTTATGTGCCACCACACCCAGCCCCTCCCTCCCTCCCTCTCTTCCTCCCTTCCTTCCTTTCTTTTACCACTATCCTGTTCCTTTTTCTCTCCCAGGTCTACGTATTTTCCTAAACACACTATAAACCTATTAAAGATTTTACTTCATCTGAATCTGACATTATTGTAAATCTTTATGGTTTTCTGGCCACGTGTCTTTTATCTGCTAAACAACGTTGTTCAAATTAAAGTGGCGGCTGTTTTAGCCCCTGACTTTCCAACATGGCGGGTGTAAGTTTACTGCACACCACCTTAGTCTATGCTTGGAGATGTAGCCACTGCCACTGCCACTGCCAGCTACTCATATTGTTTGGTAGTGGGGCCTCTTAAGAGAGCCATGCATTTTTTCCCCACTTATGCTGAGTCATGAAAGGCTCCTCCCTTAAAGACACCATTCAAGTCTCTACTTGTCTCTAGAAAAACATAGCCCATCTGAGAAAATGCTGCTACCATGAAGCTGTGCTTCTCTTTGTTCTTTTGTTTCTAAAAATCCCTTTTAATTTTTGTCAGGTTTTAAGTGGACGTTCATAGTACCCATGTTACTGGCACCATATGTAACAAGCATTCTTTCTGCCAGCCTGGTTCCTGAGTTGCATCAGTCCCACTATATTAATTATGAAACGGTTGGCCATTTGCTATGGGTTCTTATAGCTAGCTCTGACTTAACTATTAACACATAGTTACTAATATATATTTTTTATATCGTCTTATCTTTCCAAAGACAATATCCTATGTGTCCTCTCCTCCTGGGATTACATGGTGACTCTTCACCCTTAACTACATTTCCCAGAATCCTTGATGCCTAGTCCCACCTATCTTGTTTCCCTATTGGCCAACAGTGCTTTAACAACCAATCAGACAAACATATATACAAAAGGACTTCCCCCATCATAAAGTTATCATGATCTAAAGTTGAACTTCTGTAAAATACTTATTTTTCTAGTTTTCCTATTAATTTATGAATTCTCACATCAAAAGTGATGAAAATTTATTACAGATATACATGGATATCTCATGATGTTTTATAGTATTTTCCTTCATGTTCTCCTCCACAGTTTCTGATGAAGAACAATCAATAGTTTATGTTCCAGGTATGACATCTATCTTAAAGTTGCAGCTTCCCTTGTTTTTTAAGTATTAGGAGAATGTAAAACATTGGACAACCTTGTATGTGCAGTTGGATATGGAACAGTTCATTTGAACATAATTTTAAAAAAAGCAAACGATTTTCAATATTTGGCTATATCCTCTTAAGATTTGAAAAATTGGCTCTTCTTAGGGTCTACATGGGCAAGTCAAGCAGAGTCATTGAAGGTACTCCGGGTGAAAACTCTCTCAGTCTTGGATGTTTGATGTTACCTCAGAATGTTGTAATTTATTGTTTTCAATGTAACCTACAAATGTTCACAATATTTCACCTAACTGGACTTTCTTTATTAACCTTTTTGTGATTGTATTCATGCCAGTGTGTGCATACATGTGTGTGCATGCACAAACACATACACACACACACTCATGCACGCACGCACATACTCTCATGAATTTCAAATAAAATTTATTAAGCATTTCTCATCAGGTTCCATAAAGTTCAGGATACCAAGAGAGGGAATGTGGGGAAGCTGAAAAGATTAAGATCAAAGTCTGAAGTCTTGTTTAATGAACATTCTTAGGACTCTCCTCAGAAGGAAATACAAGATCAAGACTCAAGTTAATGAATCCAAAAGTTGATCTTAAAGTTAAGACTTGCAGGGTGGCTGATGCTTCTGTCTCCATGGATTCTTTAAAAGGTGCAGGAGACTCAGTGGCTGAACAGGTCAGTAATCTTTGTCTTGTTTGTTTGTTTGTTTGTTTTTTTTTTTTGGCTTGTGTGTGTGCAGGGTGTGTGTTGGTGTTGAGGTGGTTGTGGGTACACTCATGTTTGCATGCATGTGTACATGTGTGGAAGCCAGAAATTAGGTATCCTCTACTCCTCTATTACTCTACTTTGCTGGGGTTTTTGGGGGGGCGGAGGAGGGGCATCTTTTGTCTGTGACACAGGTCTCTTATTGAACTCAGAGCTCTCCCTGGTTAGGCTGTAGGGATCCACCTGTCTCTGTCCTTTGCACCCCTTCTAGTTGTAAAGTTACAGGTAAGTACTACTATGTCCTCATTTGAACTCAGATTCTAAACTATATCATTCCAGTCTAGCTTGGTGAATCAGTGAATTTACTGGGATTACTTATATGAGCCTGAGTGACTCCAAGGCAGCTACATCACCAAAATCCACCCCACTATGGGTGACAACTCAGAAAAGTTATACCCTGGAGGTCGCTGATCAACTTAGAGGCAGCAATCCTCTCCTCAGAAACTGTGTCCTGCTTTTAGAATTTTGGGGAGTGAGTTAACTTTCTGAGTTGCCCTTTCTGAGCCTTGGAAGTTTCTGTGGAGTCCTGAGTCCTAGGCATCTTCCATCCCTCAAAAATAGGGCTTCATTTTGGAGGAAGCAGCTACTCAGCAGCTGGTTTTGTAAATGCTTCTCTTCTTCCTCCCAGGACTGCTCATTTTTTGAGATATTGTCTGTGACTGCTTTTGTAGAATCATGGAGTTACTGCAAAGCCCCAAATAACCCAAACATTTATTTTCAGACTAGTTACAGAAAAAGTTTTACAATTCCTAATGTGTAATCATGGAGACATTTTGGTATCGATTACTGATGATCATCTAGTAGTGAACAGGATTCAGTGGTGAGCTCCAGGACAGAGTGTCTTTATGGATGGCATTAGAGAGAAAATGATGACTTGTGGTGTTTCTGCTGTTGTTAGTTGATGCTGTATGAGCACTGCAGTGCACTCAGAAAGGCCATAAATGAAAGCCATTAGCTAATTACACAGTTGTCATATTGTTTCATTGCCACAGTTTCCAGTTTCATTATGAGGCTGTGATAAACCACCGACCAAAAGCAATTTGGTGAAGAAATGGTTTATTTAGCACTCACTTCCAGGTCTTGGTCCAAGAGTGAAAACAGCAGGAACATGAAGCAGAACCATGGAGGAGGAGGGGTGCCGCTTCCTGCCCTGCTCTCTGGCTCACTGACCAACATGTCACCACTTTTCCAGTCATTTTAACTGAGAGACTTCACTGGAGAGGTGCGTCAGCACCTACATGGTGTCTAACTATATACACGTCAAGATTCTGTATTACCTAGGAGTCTCCTGTGACTTCTTGACTTTCATGGTTTTAAGACGCCTCTAAAGTTGTTACAGTACTGGAGAAAGCCCACTGTGCTACAGAAAAGAATGGCATAGTGTTTAAGAGCACAGCCTGGAACCTGGTTTTGCCCCCCATTCTGTTATGTAGCTGCTGTAACTCTGAGCAATCTGTGTACTCTTTAAAAAAAAAAACTAAAACAATTCTGCCTAATTGCACTGCTGTGAAAATGAGACGGAGTAACAGGTGAAAAGGACTTCTTGTATTTTTGGCATGTGAGGAACAGTAGAGGTAAACTCCACTTCTTAGATCTGGCCATTCACAATTCTGATTTGTTTAAAGCACCACACCTAGGGTCTTCTCTCCAACCTTCATATATTTTAAACAGTCTTGGGACTACAGTGTCAGGGATTCTCAGTGTCCTCCATTGTCACCATAGCATTCACCAGGGGAAAGGTATGTTCTCTAGTTCTGTCTGTGTGTGCATTCCTCTGTATATTCCATGATGTTGTCTGGTTTGTTATCAGTTCCCTCGCATGTTTGGAATTCATAGTGGGTTTAAGTGAAAAACATGAATAGTGATTAGCCAGATAATTAATTTCTAAGAAATTTTACTTTCCATTTTTAATTTCATAAATTTCTCAAAAAGTACTTGAAAATTCTTTTCAGTAAAAAAAAAGTTAACCAGAAGATGTTTTATTCTAGAATATCTGCAAGGGAGGAATGAAGAGTGCATCATTGAAAGATTTATGTCTTGAAGACAAAAGACGGATTGCTAACTTAATTAAAGAACTGGCCAGGTGAGACAAAACTTATTTGGGACAACTTATTTTCAGAGCACAATTTTGCTAATACATTTGATGTCTGTGGTGACTTCGATAAGAATCACCCCCACAGGTGTATCGATTCCGATGCTTGGTCACCAGGTGTAGCATTGTTGGAAGGACTAGGAGGTGTAGCCCTGTTGGAGGAAGAGTGTCTCTAGGGATGGACTTTGGGGTTTCAGAAGCTCCAGCCATGCCCAGTGGTTGTGCTGCTGTGCTGACAATGGACTAAACCTCAGAAACTATAAGCAAACTCCAACTGAAAGCTTTCCTTGTAAAGAGTTGCTGTGGTCATGGTTCTCTCCACAGCAATAGAACGCTAAGACATTGGCATTACTGCCATTATTTTTATGAAACAAGACTTGAAAAGTTTTTGTATTACCCAAACACTTACCTTCAAGTGCTTACTCCCAATGATCTAACATCTCACAAGACCTCACCTTGAAAAATTATTGCCACTTCCCTATAGTAACATAGGTTGGGGACCATGAATATTAAAACTATAGCAGTGTTGCAGGGGAGACTCACTCAAACTATTTAACTGTACTTTAGCTCTGAAGTTATCGCAACTGTAGTAAGGTGCATCTAAGGAGTGTGCCTCATCCACTCTTCCATGATACTCTAATGGCTGCTTTATATTTCCCAAAGTGGTTTTATATTTAGTATCACATTATAATTCTTACTGAAGAATGAGTTCTTATTAGTATCAGCTTTGATAAATTTAATTTTCTGATATAGAACTCTAGGAATCACAGAAATAAAATGAAGTAGACGTTCTTTTTTTCTTAAGAAATAATAACTTTTTATTTTGAGATAACTGTAGATTTTATGGCATTTGTTAAACATACAGAGAGAACTTATCCTCCCTTTACCTAGTGTCCAGTGATTATAATATATTGATTAACTAGTACAATATTACAACTAGAAAATTTACATTCACAGACTTTATCTGTGATGTATAGAGATCACCACTTTTACATGTATTCATTGTAAATTTGTTAAAAATCACCAGTCAGAATTCAAAATATTTCTGTTACAAGGATTTTCTTGTTTGTTTTTTGACGTCCTGGGAATTTACTAGGGCGTTATACAATGCAGGCAAGTGATAGACTACTTTATTTGCACTCAAAAAAATTTTGAGTATATGCATATGTGTATAGATATTATTGGAAACTAGAAAAGAAGGTTGGATTCCCAAGACCTGCAGGTGGTTGTGATCCATCTGACATGAGTGCTGGAATCAACTCCAGTGTTTTGTAAGCACTTTTAGTCTCTGATCCATCACCCCAACCTCAGCACAGATCTTTTTTTCCTTCCTCCTTCCTTAATCCCAAACTCCTGTTACTCTGCTCTCTGTCCCTACAATTGCATCATGTCAAGAAAACTATATTTTTTGACATCAGTTATTTTTACTTGGGATAATTCTTTGAAGGCATTCAAATTGTATGTATTTCAGTATTTTTTTCCTTTTTATTATATTACTTTTGGTATAGAGGTGCTAGATTAGCTAACTATTTATCTGTTGGAAACATTGTAATTCTTTCCAAATTTTGACAGTTACAAATGTAATTGCTGTGAGGTTTTCATGTGCACATGGAAGTTGGATTCCTTTGTGATTGAGTGTGATTGTTTTATAAGAAACCACATTCCAAAAAGGTTGTTGCATTTTATAATCTAGGTGTTCTGAATTCTACCTTCCAAATTTGTACAGTTTTAATTTTAGGAATCTCATGGGCATTTAGTGATGTCTTGGTTAGTTTGTCTTTCTATAATTGCCAATGTTATTGAACATTATTTCATGTTCTTATTTCTGTTTATATCTTGACTGAAAGTGGGTACATTCTTTTGGCCATAGCATACCAGAATGTTTGCATGTTTTTTTTGAGTTTTGAGAATTGTTTATATGTTCTAAATATAGATCTTTTGTTGGATATGAACTGTAAAATACTTTCTTCTGCTCTGTGATTTGCCTCGTTATCTTCAGGATCCTCCATAGTCTAAAAGCTTTTTTTTTTTTTTATCTTTGTAGTCATTGATCCATTTGAGTTGTTTTTTTGTGTTATAAGCATGTCTAAGTTGAGTTTTGTTGTTGTTGTTTTTATTGATGTCCACTTACCCAGCACCATTTATAGAAATCTGTTTTGTGTTTCTGTTAGAAATCAATAGGAGTATATTCGTATGTTCTTTCTGGGTTCCTGTCTTGCATCTCTCTACCTGCCTGTCCCTCAATTTTTATTACTGTACATGTACAGTATAGAAAACCTTAATACTGGGTATAGCGATTCCTCCCTCTTTGTTCTTGTTTTTCAAAAATGCCAGTGCTAGTCCTTTAATGCAGAATATGGAGCTGCACAGGGTTGGTTGTCATATAATGTTTATTGAGGGGGACGTCGCTTGCATGAGAAGCTGAGAACCTGAGGTCAGCACTCTGCCTCAACCGGAACCCCAAGAGGAGAGCGTCGTCTTCTCCTCGCTCTTTATGTCCATGCCTTCTCCCAGGTACCTGTGGCCATGCCCAAATGACTGTGGTTAATGCTACAGGTACGTAAGATCTCCCCCTACAAGTCCGTTCTGTAATAACTTTGACACAAGCATGCCAGTGTTGGTAAGACAAAAACAAACATTTCTGTTGACATACTAGGAGGTATTTCATTAAACTGTATATCAATTGTTAGGAAGAACTAAAAGTCTTTGCTGTGTTGTATCTTCTAATCCATTAATGTAATTATTTGTTGTATTGATTACACATTAAGGAAGGGAAATATAGGAACCTCCCATGGGGTGAGTTTGACCAAGGATGATTCCCAATTTCTCTCCCTGTGTCTTGTCTGACTCAAAGAAAAGGCTTTGATCTGTGCTTATTGAACTGCACAGAAAATGTGGTATGGGAAAGGAACAAGCTGTTCTTTACAGAGCTCTTTAGCAGAGTTTCCAATGGAAGGGTTACTTTACTGACTCCATAGGATCCAAAATAAGTACTTAGACTTGCAAAAATGTTACCAGCTTATATAACATATTGCCTCCAATAATTATGGGATATCTGTTTTGTTTAAAGTTGTTTTCAATGTTTTGGCTATTTTGCCAATGATTACCACAACACACATACACATTATTCTGTGTTGGGGCATGGAAAACTATATAAGGTTAAAGCTATGCATCTATCTTAGGTTGTAGAAGCTAATTTCATGGAACATCAAAGGCACAATAAATTTGGTTACATTGTTCTCTTAAATGCAGGCTAAACTTAAACTGACTGAGCCCCCACTCAGTAGGATAGTAGGCCCAATACATAGACTTAAATGATCTCAAGTCATGCTATTAATTTGACTAAGGTCCAGCAAAAGTATAGTCTCTTTGGGGTCAAGAAATATTTTCAGAAAAATCTATCATTGCAGTATGTCTTCAATTACGTAGATGTTCAATTTCTTCAGTAGCTGTTTCCAACTTTCAGGATGTAGATCTTGTGCAAGTTTTCTCATATTTATACATAAATATTTAATCTTTGAAAGCAATTTTAAGTGGTAATTTAGTCTTTAGGTTTGTGACTGAACTGTGTATTTCAATCATTTTTTGTTTTGTTTTTATTTTTTTACATTTTTTAGAAAAGATCTTGCTTTACATGTCAATCCCAGCTACCTTTCCCTACCCTCCTCCCACAGCTCCCCCCCCCCATCCTCCTACCCTATTCCCACTCCCTTCTGCATAGGGGATATCCAGAGTCTGTCATTTCGTTCAGGGCAGGGTTTAGGCCCTCCCCCAAGAGTCCAGGCTGGGAGAGCATCCCTCTTTATGTTATGGACACATGAAGTCCATTTGTATGCCAGGGGTAAATACTGATCTACTGCCCAGGCCTCCTCACTGACTCTCACATTCAGGGTGTCTGGATCAGTCCCATGCTGGCCTCCCAGCTGTCAGTCTGGGATCCAAGAGCTCCCCTTGTTCAGATCAGCTGTCTCTGCTGGTTTCACCAGCCCATTCTTTGCCCATTTGCCCATCACTTCTCTCTCTCTGTCACTGGGTTCCATGGGTTCAGTTCAGTGTTTAACTGTGAGTGTTTGCCTCTGCTTCCATCAGTCACTGGAGGAAGGTTCTAGGATGGCTTATAAGGTAGTCGTCAAGTTCATTATCAGGAATGGGCATTTAAGGTAGTCTCTCCACTGTTGCTTAGTTTGCCAGTTGGTGTCATCCTTGTAGATAGATAGAGGTCTCACTGGTACCATATCTCTCTTCAAACCTATAATGACTCCCTCTATTATGGTATCTCTCATCCTGTTCTCCCCTATTCTTTCCCCAACTCAACCTTCTTGCTCCCCCATGAACTATTCTATCCTCCTCTTCTCCCCTTCTCTTCCCCCCCCCCCCCGCCGTGCTCCCAATCTGTTCAGGAGATCTTGCCTCATTCCCCTTCTCTGGTGTACCATGCATATCTCTCTTAGGTTCTTTCCTGTTTCCCAGACTCTCTGTCAGTCCAATTGCAGACTGGCACTCCCCTGATCCATGTATAAAATTCATATATGAGTGAGTACATACAGTGTTTGGTTTTTTTTTTTTTTCTTTTGTGACTGGATTACCTCACTCAGGATGGTTTCCGCTGAATAGTGCTCCATTGTGTAAATTTACCATATTTTCTCTAAACACTATTCAGTTGAGGGGCATCTAGGTTGCTTCCAGGTTCCGGCTATTACAAATAATGCTGCTATGAACATAGTGGAGCAGATGCCCTTGTTGTATGAATTTGTCTCTTTTGGATATATGCCTAAGGGTGGGATTGCTGGGTCTTGTGGTAGATTGATTCCCATTTTCCTAAGGAATCTCCATACTGATTTCCAAAGTGGGTGTACCAGTTGGCACTCCCACCAGCAGTGGAGGAGTGTTCCCCTTTCTCCACATTCTCTCCAGAATAAATTGTTCATGGTGTTTTTGATTTTAGTCATTCTGACAGGATGTTGAACATTTTCTCAAGTGTCTCTCAGCCA